CACCTGGTTCTGTAGCTGTGGTTCCCAACAGGCAGGAAGTGGTGGACGTGGAAGATGTGGACCATCTATATGGCAGGGAGGACCCCAGCTTGGAGACGCCTTCAAAAGATGAGTCAGCCATTGCACTGGACACTCCTTCACCAATCCCTGCCTAGCCTTGGGCTGGCACTGGGCAATTTAATTGTCCATTTTATAAACCTTATGACACACAGGGTTTCAGGGCCCTGAACACTTTGTGGCCCTGTTCCAGCTCTCAATTTGGTGGATGGGCTGTGCTACATCCACAGGTTGCATTTTCAGTACCGTTCAACACTACAGCCGGTGTAGGGGGTCTGGCCATATCCCTCTGTTTCAGAAACAGGTTATAATACCGTGCCTCTGAGAGCACTGCCATTCAGCAATTACTCGATGCCATTAGGTGACCACCTCATGCTGGTGATTCAGAAAAAAATTGAAAAAGCGAATGTGTCGATCTATTCAAGTTCTTAAATAGAGCCACGGAAAAAAGGATTTAGACAAGGATGAGAAAGACAAGGAGCGATGTAGGAGGAAGTAGCCAGACAGGACATGATCCAACTGGCTAACAGGATTCTTAATTTATGCCGGAGTTGTCATAAAGGCCCAACCATGACACACACAATCCCTTTTTCAATATTTGGATTTAATATATAGAGCGTATGTAGAATTTGCTGGGCATAAGTCCAATATTACCAGGGATTTAATGTTCCTTGAATTTTTCCCAATAGTGGGCACACTGTGGCTATGGGCAGAAGAGTGGTCAAACTCGGTCATCCATTTTAGGTGCAACAGCCAGGCAGTGGTTTACATTGTAAAAAACCTTATGTCTCCTTCAGAGAGGCTCATGACATTAGTAGGGCATTCACGCTGCAGGCTTTGAAATTCAACATTTTGGTTCAGGCACGACACATTCCAGGGATAGACAATAGTTTAGCTGATGCATTGTCACGTCAGCAGATCGAGTGGTTCAGGGAACTAGATCCAGGAGCCAATGAGTTCCCGGAGATTCTGACCCCAGAGGTTTGGCAGATTGGCGCGAAGATGCGGAAAGGGAAATAGGCTTGGCCTTGGCTCCGACGACATGGAAAAGGTACTCAGCTGTGAGTATAGAGTTTCAGGAATGTAAGAAGTTGGTTAACTAGGAGCCTGTCTGGCCTGCACCGGTGGATCACCTTCAACAATTCATTGTGTATTTGAATAAAAGGGGATTGGCACCTAGAACTATTTAAGGTAGGTTGTCCGTGCTCGCCTTCTATGCTAGGATTAATGGATATCAGGATTATTCCTCAGATTACTGTATTAAGAAAATGATCGAAGGAAAGGGGTAGAGTTCAGGATACCAGGGCTGCCATATCACCTGCATTGTTAGAATGTATGTGTAAGCAGTGGGAGCTTTTGTGTAGGGACAAATATGAAATAGTTTTATTTAGAGCAGCATCCTTGTTGACATTTTTGGGACCCTTAGGATTAGTGAGGCAGTTGCTGCTGGCAAGAATGACGAGACTAAGGTAGCTTTGCAATGGCAGGATGTTAGGGTGGTGAACAATATGGTTCTAATTTACATTTGACGATCGAAGGCCGATCAACTAGGTAGGGGTGCTCAACTTACGCTAACATGTTGCCATATAGAAGACATCTGCCCTGTGAAGGCCACAATGGCATATTTGGGAGTTAGGGGACGGGATCAAGGCTATTTCTTTCAGCATAGAGATAGTTCGTCATTAACAAAGTACCAGTTCTGGAAGTTGACAGACGTAGTGTTGGATAGAGTTGGCGTGCAGGGATCATGATTTGGCACACATTTCTCTAGAATTGGTGCAGCAACCTTGCACCATCCACAGCTGCAACCTTGGGATACAATACAGATGAAATTAAGTGTTTGGGTCGGTGGTCTTCATCTAATAATCATAGGTATATTAGAAGACTTCCTAGCGTCTAGGCAGGGGTCTGGTTTGGTTATATTTCTGCAGGTTCCTTGGACGGTGAAACGATGATACGTTGTGATTTTGAGCCACAGCTACGTTTATTGGGCAGCGTGTTATGCAGCTGCATCCACATGGGGGAACAACCTGGGCCTTGGAGTCAGAGCCCACATTG